TCAGAATTTTGCCTGAGGTCCGAACTTGAACGTAGCCACCCCCCTAAAGAATGATGGCAAGCCTCGTCTTGATCTCATCTTAAGCGGATTTTTTTGCCAGCTTTACTTTGTGTTTGCCCATGTTGAGGTGCTTTTGGATGGCAGTGAATGACTAAAACGTCTTAATACATCCTTCCTCTTAACAAGAATATCTCACTTTCTTGCCTCTGTTGATTTCCTTAGTGAAAACAAGGAAAAAACGGGGGGTGGTCTCTCTCCCCCCGGAAAAGACCAAAACAGAAACCACTCTGTCCTTTTGAGTTTTGGGTAGACCCTTCAAACTGGACGAGTTCCATTGAAATCGGTGAGATTTCATGTAGCACGACTGCCTGGCGCTCTCGTGGACACACTCTTAAACGCTTAAAGGAAGGTCAGTCAAATAACAAGGAGATATGTAACCAGCCTCCTCTACTTACTATGCCTGAATGATGTTAAGCACGGTGTGCAAGCTTTTAGGATCCGGGGACACAGATTGAAGTAAAAAAGGCGAAAAGAAAATTTGAACTCTCGGCATAAAACATAGAAAACTTCAAGAGTAACAGAGATCGTCCTGTGGAAGGAAAGATTTTAAGTTGAGGGTCTGGATGGGGTTACCTGACAACTGACAAATGGTCAAAATTTTAACTGACAACTGAAAAATCGCTGAAAATCTAACTGACAACTGACATTTGTGGTGGGCTTTTACTGACGGGTGACAAAAGACCGGATCGCCCTAAATATCCGAAAAAATGGATGTAAAATAAGGACAGTTGATTTATTTTCTCGAATAAAAGTACGATTTTTAATACATATCAATAAGAGTGCGCAAAACCAACTTGCAAAACCAAGCAATGCGAATAACATTGCATGCTGACCGTAAGACATGTTCTCAAGAGATGCGCACTGAATTGCGAATTGCCCAACGTTTCGACACTCCTGTCTAGTGCGCACCAGACAGGAGTGTCGAAATGTTGGGTCTATGAATTGTAACTTCTTCGGTTACATTCATTAAATCTGCAAACCAGAGTAGCATCATACCATGTCTAATTGTCCACCTGGTTGCCGTGTGAACTTTAATATAAGCTACAGTATGTTTACAAGATTACTGACAACATTAAATTCCCTAGACAATTGACAGGTTACTTAATAAAACGATCACAAAGACATTGTCAATCCTTCAGTGATCCAACATCATTAGATCTACCACACGTTGAGACTAAATGTGGACAGACCTCGTTTAAGTTCTCGGCTGCGAGTGCCTGGAGCAAAGTGCCAGGAGATGCACGCGAGCTCACAACACTTGCACAGTTTAAGGGTAAAACATTTACTTACCTGATGAACATGAACAGCTCCAATCACATTTGTACAAGTTAAACGTAGATTTTATTTAATAATTCTTAAATAGATTTTTTTATTCAACTGCATGCTTTATATTTTTTATCGACTTTTATGCATTTTTTACTGGTCACCGATTCAATTCAATTTTTCAATTCAATTTTATTTGTTAGCAATACAATATTATCACAGTCCTAGGTGACCCGCAATTAGCAAGCTATTCTAGGCGGGCCACCCTTCTAAAACAAGTGCTGTCTCTGCTAAGGATCACATACCGATACAATTAAACAAAGATAATCATTAATAAAAATACAATTGTTAAATAAAATAAAATAAAATTAAGTCCGGTGAATAATTAAATAATCAATTGCAAAGTTATCAAGATATATAATACAATTGAAACAAGACTTAAACGAAGAGTTACTTTATCAAGAGATATTTACAAATTTCAGAGCAGCGTATATCAACATTCATCTCCTCAATTTCCAAAAGTTTTAACAGGCGATTTTTAAGTTCACGCTTAAACGGGGTTCTGTTTTTAATACGAAGTTCTTTTGGGATGCTATTCCACAATCTTACACCTATTCTAGCAAAAGAAAATAAAAGTTGGTTAGTTCTAGACGCTTTAACGTACAGATTAGCCGTTGCTGAGAATCTTGTGAAATGGTGATGAACCTGCTCGGAGTGGATAAAGAGCATAGAAATATTAGACGGGGCACGGTGATTATCAATGTCATGCATCAAAGAGGAAACCAAATGAGAATAGAGCATAGTTATTGGTAAGATTCTGGAGTTAACAAATAGCGGGGCACTATGAGATTTGCTATCCGCAAAATACATTAGTCGTAGAGCACGTTTTTGTAAAATGAGAACCTTATTTAAATGAGTGTTAGCAGCTTGTCCCCAGGCAATAAGACCATAAGAGATATAGGGTTCAATTAAGGAGCGGTAGATGTTAAGAAGTGTGGCAAATGGGACAAGATGTCTTAACCTGGCAATTATACCAATTCCTTTACTAACTTTAGATGAGATATAATCAATATGATACTTCCAAGAGAGGTTATTATCTATCAGAATTCCTAGATATTTCACAAAAGTTTTTTGTTCTAGAGATACACTTTTTTTAAGATCGTTATTATAAATTTTCAAGTGAACTATGTAGTCCAATTTGCGTTGGTAAGGATGGAAAATAACAAAGTTAGATTTACTAGTGTTAAGAGAAAGTTTGTTTGCGTCCAACCAGTCACCCACTTTTGCGAGTTCATCATTAACAACTTTTTCAAGATCCTTAAGATCTTTGTTTGAATAAAGCAAGTTAGTATCGTCAGCAAATAGGTAAAACTCAAAAATCTGGGAGCAACGGTAAATGTCGTTAACATAAATCAAAAAGAGAAGGGGGCCAAGTACAGACCCTTGAGGGACACCACAAACTATCTCTTCTATATTCGACACGGTTGAACCAATTTGAGTCGACTGGTTCCTGTTCAACAAGTACGAAGAGAACCAGTTATTAATTATTCCTCTGACTCCATAATGATATAATTTGTGCAGTAAGATTGAGTGATCCACCGTATCAAAAGCCTTTTTTAGGTCAATAAAAATACCACAAGAGAATAACTTTGCATCAATATTAGTTTGAATTTTGCTTAAGATATATAAAATTGCATGTTGGGTTGAACACTTAATTGATAGCAGTCAATAACTAATTACGAAAAATTTGTATATCAATAACTATTGATTGACTGACTGGTCTTTGATCAGGATAATTTAAGTTATTAATATTGGTAGTAGTAGTGTCATTATTATTGGTGTCACATTTCGTTAATAATTACCGCATGGACCATCCACATCAAGGTCATGTATGGTTACATGGTCTTTGATACCCAACTCGGTCGTCAAATTACGCGATGGCCGTCAATGCTGGTATTTTAAAAGCTGTTGTAAGCTCTTATCGAATTGATACGGAAACGGCATTTGAGCGTCAGAGAAGCTGCATTCCTATCAATAGTGTAAAAACCGTACTGGCGCTGACAAATCACCCTATCTCGTTCCTTGGTCTGAAGGAGTTGTCCAGTAAATATGGCCTTGGAGATTTTGTTGTGAAACTTCATCACATGGCTCCGAAATCAGGAGGGAAGAGGCACAATTTTGCCTTAACTTCGGACGAGCGATGGAATCTGGAGCTTCCGACCATACTAGCTAATGGATAACTGCAGCATTCATTTATCAGACACGACCTGACGACAATACTGAAAACCACTTATCGACAAATCCACACGTAAACTAAAATCCACCAAGGACTTCAATTATGCCACCAAGACTTAACAGATACCTGACGACTACAAACTAGTATAATTTGATTTGAAATCGCTTTTTAACCAGTATTCCACTTCAAATGGCGCTAGAATGTACTGAGACCGCAATCCGACAATCTACCGACCCTCTACCGCTACCGACAGAGGACATTATGGACTTACTGAACCTTTGCCTTACGTCAACTTACTTTCAGTACGACGGTAAACGCTACAAACAGTTACACGATACAGCTATGGGATCTCCAGTTTCTGTTGTTGTATCAGAGATTTTGATGCAGAACATCGAGGTACGTGACCTTTCGAACTGCCGATAAACGATACCACTTTAGTTACATTACGTTGACGATACATTCACTGCCGTACGACACAACTAAATCGACGCATTTCACCACAACCTTGACGGACGAAACACTGACATGCAGTTTGCCAGAGAGGTCGAAGAAAATGGTAAACTACCTTTTCTGGACTGCCTGGTAAGCCGTGACCACAACTCATTACAGACAACAGTTTACAGGAAACTGACACATACCGACAGACGAGTCATCCGACAACGCGACATCACACAAAGCCACAACTATCAGGACTCTAACGCGACGAACGTAACTGGTATGCAACACGACAGACAGCTTATCCAACGAAAACTAGTACCTTGACAGTGTTTTTTCAAAGAACTAAATGCAACGAAGACTTCATTCGACGAATCACTCACCGACGTACTACACTACCGAAACTAACGACACCGCAACTCCTACGACTACAGCGACTAAACCATACATAAAGGCATATCTGAGAACATCTCGCGCATCCTACAACCCTTCAATATCCGCGTCGCCTACAAACCCATCACTACAATACGTCAGTTGCTTACAAACGCCGGTCAAAGACGAACACGAACCGAGGAACATACAGGGAGCGGTTTATAAGATCAATTGCTCCGACTGTAGAAACGTCAATTACCACTACCAACAACAGTCCTTCTCAAGACTACACCCACCCAGACGATCAAACTACACCGTTGCTTTAGGATTTTTTTTTAATCGGAGAGCAACATTCCCTCCCGGAGCACTGGAAACATGCCGGGAGCCTAGTAAGCATCTCAGTAAGCAAAATGCTTGGATTTCAGCCCGAAAAACTAGATCGACTACAACAGGTCGAGGTTTTATTGCAAATTTTTCGCGTACAAAGTATGCACGACCAAACATGGTTTTTTCCGTGGCTCAACTTTTCTTTTCGACTTTCCCCTCCTTTCAGACGTTGCTTCTGGTAAAGCTTTTGGTAAGACTTCATAAAAACAGCAGAAGTAACTCAGTCAGTAGTTGTCCGGGAAGTTGACGTTTGATTTTTTTCAAGTTTATTCAAAGCATTGAAAATTTCTTCCCAGCTACAGGAGGAAAAGTGGAACTCGCAAGTGGGTTTCAATTGCTTGTTGGTTCGGAATCTAAGGTTGGTTTTCGAATAAAATGACATAATAACTGAGTTTTAAAATCAGTGGAGCACTGAAAAAAAGGTTCAGCCTCTTGATGATAAGGTAGTCGTATTGACTAGGTAGTCGTACTGACTCTACGTTGACTTTACTCTATGTGCACGGCTCGTGCAAATGGTAAAGTTCAATTTTCTTTTCTAACAATTATGCAAATCATATCGTTCATGATATATGATCGTGTTCGTAAAACTTCATGAGGAATGTTAATGCCAAAATCAAATCGGTCGTCTTCCATAGGTTTGGTAACACGTTCTTTCCTCTTCTCAAAGTCCAAAACATCTGATAAATCCTTCCTTTTATCTTTGCATGGGTTTTGATCGATCAGCGAAAGGCGCACTTTTTCAAGAAATGGCCAGGATAACAACGAATCAAATTTTCCAGGAACAATCCTGATATAAAGAGACAAGAAACGTTCTTTGTGATATAGTACTAGTTTGATACGCGATTTGTAGCCATTCTCGGACAAATAAAATTTTTCGCTTAGTAAAATGTTTTGGGGGTGAAATCCTCTGTTTGCTCTGTTTAACACGGCTTGGAAGTTGGAGATTTTCCAAACAAAAGGAGCACACTTCCTTGCCATCATTCTGAGCCTTTCTATCTGCTGTGTTTGTTCTTGAACCTTTTTCATCAATTGCTCCATCTCCCTACACTTCTCCTCATCTCTGTCAACTAGCTGTTCAATCTGCTTTGTCTTCTCAACATCTCTGGCAATCAATCGCTCTATCTGCTTTGATTTCTCTAGATCTTCAGTCTTCAGTCGCTCCATCTGCTGTGACGTTTCTTCAAAATTGGCCATCACTTGCTCCATCTTCTGTACCTGACAGTTCAGATGGCTAACGAGCTCCTGAGTGACTTTCAGTTTGCGAACAGCCAAGTTCAAATGTCCTTCAACTTGGGTTTCTGAGTGAGACTTGGCGTTTGGTCTTAGGAACTGCGAGCACAGAAAGAGATATATCAGTCTTTGCACAAGACTAGGAGCTTTGTGAGATTATAATCTCACCAACTTCTGTAATTCTAAACGAATCGTATGGGTTCGAGATTCTGATCACCAATGTTTTTAGAAACCTAATCCTCGATTAAACTTTTTCACACACAAAAAAGATGATAAGGCCGAACAAAATGAAATGCGATCAAATGAAATGAAATGAGATTGAACGAGAAAAGAAAACAAAAGCGATGCAAAAACGGAAAAGCCTTTCCATGAAGTCTGGATTAGTTCTGATCGTATCTCAAACAATTATGCTCTGCCCTGGACGTATACCTGTGCCACGTCTCCAGCCTCGTTGATCTCTCAATTTTATAGGATCGTTACCACCCTCTTTTAATAACTTTTCTACAAAAATACCGGCCATGCTATACAACAGAACACTCCTCAATGCTAACTACCAGAATTAGAGGTATTTAAAATTGCTCATACCACAGCCGCACATCCTAAGTGCTTGTATTCGCAGTCAACTTCAGTTTTGGGACATTCATCACGAATGTGAACCTCGAGCTATAAACGACAACAAAAACAACAATATAACGTTTTGATCCCATTGTTACGAACAAATGATACAGGCACCCCTCATGTAAAAAGTGAAACACAAACTATGTCTTACTAACATCTGTAATATTTTTAATAATCATATCTCTTTTAACTTTTAAGGGAATCAGACTCTTTTAATTCCTATATGTAACGCTGTTACATACGGAAAATATTCTTTACGTTATCTTGGGCCTTGATTATGGGGAAAACTATCGAAGGATGTTAGAATTGCAGAATAGAAGATTTCTAAATACCTTTAAAAACAGGATTGGTAAGTGCGATATAGTTTCACTGATGAATGATAACTGTAAGGGCTTCTCGCTCTGCTCTTCAAAATTAACATAATTTTATCACTTTTACATAAATCAAACTTTTTAGCGATTTTTCTGACCTATCAGATCATAATCAGATATCTCTAGCCCATTAGATTAGTATAATTAGTAATAGATTTTACATTCTTAGTATCATCATTATTATGATTATTATTACTTTAGCTTTAAAATAACCTAATTTGTTTCTTTCTGTCAGTTTATTTTGTGGCATGTGTCAGCAGATTAGTATGGGTTTTTCCCAGGCTACAAGTCATGAATTATTAACAAAATTTATCAAATAGTTTATCTATCAATCTATTTATCTACAGGTGACAGCATCACAAGGTGAAAGATCATGCAAGCATAGCTGATAAACCTTTTTTCGGGGAATTTCTCTTAAGCCGCAATTGTTACTGCACTTGACTGGAAACAAGGAACAATGATCAAAATGTTTCTGGAAAAGAAGAGACAATATCAGATTCCATTTTTTGACACGACACTACCTCGAGGGTCGAAAAAGTATTGGCAGGCTAGCAATAATATTAAATTTACGCTGTAAGTGTACATATATTTTTTTAATTCGAAATCTTCAACTCGATCGATTGCACGACGTCGTGAGTTTTAAGCTCATATAACAAAAAAGGAATTTATCAAAGGAGTATATTCCAAACGAAGGATTACTAATTTTAAGCGTAACTTACCTGTTTGTTGTTGAAGATAAGTAACTCTTGACAATATTCACAACGTATTATTCTCCACAAACATCGGGATTCCACGTGTGAGCCCATGTCTTTCTTTAGGAGCTTTTCTGTACATTCTGAGTTTGGACACTGCACTTCTATGTATGCGCATTCTGCTTGATGATTCTGGAAATCATGAAAAAACAGGACAGGTTGACGTTTTGCAAATTCAAATGGCATTGAAGCCTTATATTAAAGTTTAGGTTTCGGTCCTAATACAAAATTATTGTACTGACACAGGTGGAAAAATAGTAACAAAATAAATCACTGAACTTTTCTACAATCCATGTCTTATTGGACAGTTTTGCACATTTGAGAGATATTTATTCTCTGAAACTTCCGAGATCTTCAGCATAATTATTAGTGATACTAGGATATGTCTAGAGCTTTTTTCGTCACCCCACCACCTGCCAATGAGGAAGGACGTCAATCTAAGGTTTCCACCTCAATACCGCCGCAGGGGATAGAGCACAAAAAGGAACTAGCTAAAGATCCCGGCATTTCTGTTTTTTTTCTGTCTTTTTAAAACTGAAGTAAAAAGGCTCCTTATCAATCAGTCACTTCGAAAATTTTTGCAGAAGTGATGTTGAACTTAGAAAGTCTAAGAAACTCTTAGACTGATCCATGATCAAATATTCTGGATTAGAGAATTGCAAATCCTCAGAACCCTTAGCATAATATTCATGAGGGGTATGGGGGAATACCTCTACATATCGAAGTTCGCCTGTCCATGGACATCCACTTTTAGGACACTTCACGAACATGTTCAGGATTTTTCGACCACAAGCAGTATCTTGAAATATCTGTCATATGGAATATTCTAGAATTATTTACAGCTCAACAGTCTTAAGAAACTCGCTGTCCCATTTGCTAGCATCCTTAAATCCAGATCACGAGCCCCGGTATTCTCCTTCCCACCCCCATCACCCCAACCCTCCTTTGGGGTATAATGATAAATGGGAACCAAGAAACCGTCATTAAAACTTGACGAACTGTTAGTCAAGAAAGGTTATTTAATTAAAATTTACCCAAGGGATACTTTCCTGATTTAATTCACCAGTTTGCACCTTAAGTGCGAGGCTTGGCGGTAAATTGGATACTCCGCTGTAAACGCGTTTGTGATGCCTGCTCAGATAGCCAATTGTACCTTTGGGTTACTAACCCTATTTTGCGTGACTGCTGACTAACCTTATCGCGTGACAATGGTTGCCCGTCTACTGGACACGATGGCGACGGCGGTCTGACAGACAAAGGAGAAACAAAGAAAGATAATCGGTGGAACGTTTTACTACGTAGACATCACTGATCGGTGTTCCCTTTAGTAACCCTGGGGGGGTGTTATGAAAATTTCGTCCTAAAAGCATGAAAACCACGCAGCAAACACGAAAACTAAGATATTGCCAGTGATAGGAATTCGACGACGAGGACAGAATAACAAAATAATTGACATCACGCCAGCATTCGAATCACGACGTACTTGATAAGTACCAAAGAAACCAATTGCTAACATGATCTAACATGCTGAGAAGGCTGTTATGTTATGATAGAGTGGTAACCAATTACCGAAGGAGTGATTCCACGCAGATGCTACAAAATCTGTGTCCACATTGAACGCTCTGTACAGGATCCTTGATCGGTAAACAACACTTAGGACACCTAAATTCCTCTGGAACATCGCTTGTAAACTCGTAATCGTACCCGCCAAGTTTTGGTTCATTGTCTGTCGCCGCCATTATAGTACTGCTTTTCGAAATGAAGCAGGAAGTGTATTCAATCCTACGTGACACAAAAGTGAAAAATATCATCTCTGTCTTTCCCAGGGTTTCTCGTTAGGGTAAGAAGAGAGATCCTGCACCCGAGGTCATATGTATTGTACGGGGTACATTATAGGAACAATACTCCTCTCAGTATGGGTTTCACCAGAGATGTATGGACTCATCGCTTCCACTACTGTACCATCAGCCTTTTTGTCGACGAACCACTGTTGGGCGATGTTTCATTTTATATAAGAAGGTCGAATTTACTGACGATGTACAGCAGCTTCCGAGCGACGTATGTACATCGTCAAAGGGAAGAGGGAGCTAATTGCACAATTTACAAAATGCTAATGACTCTTTAAAATTTCTGTGTTTTGTAATGATGAGGTAAAGAGAAAGCAGTCTTTAATCTCATTTCCAAACAGTAATTTGGCCTTTGCGAGGAAATCGGTTTTGACAGGAGCCCATGGGCTCCTGGTTTTGATGAATATCGAATGTCACGATTAAGAGTATCGATTTAAGAGATAATTTTTTTGCTCTAAACTTTTGCAGCTTTCTGAACCGTCTAGATGAAAGGAAAGGCCGCAGACTTCCATAAATCAGGCTTAGCAAGATTGGGAAGATTAAAGTATCTAGCGACAGGTTTGGATGCGTCTTAGTCATTCCTCTCTTAGTCGCGAAGGTGTTCCCGGAATCTCGGTGTCGCTTGATCGTTTTTCTGTTTTGCTGATGTATACCTTACAGCAATCAGTGCAATTGGTGACTTTGGTGGAGGTACAGGCCTAGGGGAAATGATCAGTGATCTCAATGGATCACTTTATCAGTGTTGAATGAAGGACAAGTTTTGCATCGTGCGCCCGCGCATTTTAATTTTCCGCGCTGATCATTTGTTTGGAGTGCACTTCAGACCAAAGTTGACTATGTTTTAGTCGTGTTTGAATGGATTCAGCAGAGGTTGCGAAAAGATCAAACCAGTCCCGGATCAATTTGAAGTAACTGAATTTGAAGTCTTCTAGAATGATAGATTCCACTGCGTGAAAGTGAGGGTGAGTGGAATTCGATCATTCTTTTCTTTCTGTGACGTCTGTGGTGCTGAATGTCGATCAATTTTTTGGGTTCAGCGATGGCCTACTTAAACAACAGAAGCAAGATAACCATATTTTTCAAAAATGTACCATTTTTCATGAAACGTGACTATCCTGCTTCTGTCTGGAATCGATGGTGAAGACTGAAATGCGTTTGTCTTCAATATGGTAAGAACTAGTCACAATGGTATTGTATTAATTTCACCAAATTAACAAATACGTGCAAATCCACGAGATCCCGTGCTACACCTTGCTAGCCATTACAAAAATTGCATTATTTTTAACATATGCCCCGTTTCGCAAAACGCCTTGAGAAACAAACTCGGGACAGCCAATTCCTTCACCCCTTCCGCTTAAAGGTCGAGGACATTCTTGTTTGCTCAAGTCAATAACAGTCGATATGTTTTTTTTCTTATCCTGACTCCGGTTTTGATCAATAATTGTCAGCCGTATTTTCTCCCTGCACGGCCACGATAGTAAGGAATCAAATTCACCAGGAACAACTTTAACAAAGAGCGACAACCAAAGTCCCTTATATGAATTATCTGCAACAGGATCTGACGCAGCTGCACCTCCGTTTGGCATCATTTTGATTTGATATCGATACCCGTTTTTAATCAAATAAAAGGGTTCACTTAGAATGACTTCTTGTTTCCCAGAACATGCTCGCTCGTAAACAGCTTGAAAATTAGTTATTGTCCAAACAAAGAGAGAGCATTCAGTTGCTCCCTTCCGCTTTGCTATTGGTTGAGAGCGATCACTGTCCTTTGACACGCCCTTTTCTAGTCCTTCTATCTTCTTTGACCGATCCTTCACCATACCAACCAGAGCACGAACTCGATGGCGCGTGGCTTCGAGACCAAGAAGAGCTATGTTGAGATGAAATTCAACGTTGGATTCCAAGTGCGACTTGGTATTTGATCGTGGGAACTGCAAAAAAGAAAGAATAATGGGCTAACTTTTAACTCTCAGAAATGATAAACACGTAGATTTTCTGTACAATATCAAAAGTTTAATAAAGAAGCGATGAGGTTATGAAAACTTATCAGTTGGAAAGTGCATTATCTGAAAAAATATGATGATACAAACATACCTTTGCTTCACATCCTAAATTCTTGAATTCACAATAAACCTCAGTATTAGGACATTCGTCACGAATGTGAACCTCCAACTGGAAATAAAACAGATATTAGCAAAGGAATGAAATGTGATTATGTTAATTTGGGCAATACAATCTCAGGTCATAGACATCCAAATCCGTGTCAGTTACCTAGAGAAGGTATCTTCGGAACAGCTACCACTTTCATAATGTTTCCCTTAGGGATGGCAATATCAATTCATTTTTGTCACATCGAAAAAATAGATTGCCCAGTGGTGGATGGAAGGGTAAGTGTCGCAAATGTACTTGATCATTTGTAAATTGATATAACTTCTTAGGTTTATTTCAGGGTTAGTGTATAACGCACTCGGTATCTTCACCACTGGTTGAATCAACACAAATTTCAGCTGTTTGGTAAAATGAAAAACGTGGTCGTTTAAGTTTGAAATCGTTCTCAATTCCCTAGAGAGCCGACTGAGTTTTTTCAAATTTTAAGTAATAGTTCTGATGGAAATTATAGTGGAATTCGAATCTAACGCTTAAAGGTGGAACCCAAATCGAGAAAATCGTGATGTGATCGAATGGGCAAGAAAGTTTACACTGGCAATGCCTGTCTCCGGCTAGTAAAACAAGGTACCGGCGTAGCTTCTCAAGCATGACTTCCACAAAAATAAACCTCATTCTATCCAATTAAAAACTAACTTTGTCGATCCTCAGGCCTTCGTGTATGAGGTGTGCTATAAAATCTGCATCATAATTATCTTCCTTCTCCTGAAGAACGAAAGGAGCAAACCTTATCTCGTGGGATATCAGTTAATCCGCACTTGTTGGTACATTGAACAGGAACCCTCTGGCAAACATCAAAATGTTCCTGGTACAGGACAAAAATCACAATGATATATAGATTTACAAATAGGCTACCCTGCGTCCACTTAGTAAAACGGAACAAAATAGCTGAAACGGCGCCATTGTAAAGGAGGAGTGAAAAAGCGAGGGAGGTTTGGGGTGGGTACCCGACCCGACCCAAGCCTCCCTTATTTTTTCACCCCTCCGCTGCTAAATGTTCACCATCGCGCTTTGTTTTACTAACTGAAGGCTTAGAACCGGTTACAGATAGCCGTGAAAAACTGAGGCAAAATGCAAAATAATGCAAGATTGAAAGTACTTCTCAGTCAACACCTGCTGTACAAACAAACTCGAAGAGATTTGAGAAAAAGCAAAATTTTCAACCATGATCTTTGCAAGATGTTTATAATATTCCACTATGCTAAAGAGGAAAACTGACTTAATGATATTGGTTAGAGTCGTGTTAGCCTTTATTTACAGCAAATTCTTTTCAGAGGAGTAGAACCTCATTCGGGTACTTTAAACCTAGCAGCGTTTATCGACGGATTTTCAGGATTCAAATAGGATAATCAAGTTCAATTTTCTAATGTTGGGTTTTACTGACATACCTGCCTCTGATTCTTAATAAATGTTTCTCCGCAATACTTGCAATCTATTTTCCTCCATGAACAATCAAATGCTGCGTGTGTTGTCATGTCTTGTTTCGTCAAATGTTCCGTGCATCCTGAGTTTGGACACTGTAGGACTTTCAGCAGGCACTCCGAGTGATGTTTCTGCAGCAAATTAAAGTAACCCTTGCGCTGAGTCACTCAACGTAAACTTGAGCTTGAAAATTAGTAAAGTATTCGGCAATATCATACAGCATTCTATGAAAATATACCCTCTTGAACTTTGAGGCTTCTTGGCTGCCAAACTACGCAGAGCACAAAAGAGGAGTGGGGGGGAAGGGATAGGCTTACTAAAACTTCACTCTGTTTGGAGTTTCATTTAGTGACAGAGGAAAAAAGCAAAGGTTTCAGTGTAAAGCTTACCGCCATTCAGTATAAAACAAATAGAAGCTTTCATAATTTTGTACCAAGGCAGCATCTCATTAGCCCGCTTGTTGAGCCCCTCAAACAGCTTACAGTGCAGATAAGATGCAAAGATTTCCTCCATTCACTGAAACGTTATCAAAAATAAATAACACGCAATTTTACCCCCACTGCCCGCTGGTCTCCTATCCAAGGACATCCAACGTTGGAACACTTCACAGAACGAGTCGGTAATTTCTGTTGATGAGCGGCAGCTGGTATAATCTAAGAGTCAATGAAAAACAACATATGACGAGGCAGGCTAACAACACTAAAAAACAAATCCAGTCAAGAAGCATTATGTCCAAACAGCGTTTTTTTCTCTTTTCAGTTTACTATTCAGTGTCTTATTTTGCCATCTCGTAACTCGTGGGTGTTGATGAATTTCAACAACAGTGTTTCCTGTCAATGATAAAATACAATTTAAAGACCACAATCACGTAAAAAAAAAAAAAAAAAAAAAAAGAATTAAAAAATAGAAAAAAAATACAAAGGTTGCGCTTTTAGGTATTAAAATTCAAATCCACACAATAGTAATCCCACTGCTGAAACAAGAACCAAATGTATGAATTCCTTTCGGTCACATTAGGATGGAAGGCAAGGCGGAAACTTTTAAAACCATAACTATTTGTTAAACCTAGAAATAATTGAACTAAAGGAGTTGGCGTGACAACGTGACTTTCCTTCAAAACTAGATAAATACCTTCTCACTTGACAATGGCTGGCGATCAGCTGGGCATGTCGGCAACGGCTGTCTGAACAAATAAAATTTACATATCACATGTAAATATTTATTCAACCGTTGTATTGTTTCATTTAATAGAAGACAAATGCTTCGATATCGCTCTTCTGTTTCGTGCTGATCGTGTTGAGAGAAACCCTTTATATACTATACACAACACGAAGTGTTGAAAGGCTCACAAAAATAAAACACAGGCTTTACAAATAGCGACCTGTTGATCATTTACATGCGACATACTTATGCGATACATATTGTTATTCTATTCATAGTTTGCATTGTTAACCTCTGACGATTTCTCGAACTGACACGTAATATCAAGTTAATCAAATTCTCCTCCTAAACCACAAAATTACCAGGTTTTTCAGGCGAATCGTAGGTAAATATCGCCCATCTCAGCTATTCCTTTGATCATACTGGTTATACGGGTGGCAAAATCGTGTGATTATTTATGGCGTTCACTGCGCCTACCTCAATAAGGATTCCATTCAGGTTTTACAAAATCTATGTTCACATTCTACATTCTGTAACATATCTTTCATTCTCAAGTGACACACAGTACATTTTCCGTCCATAAAAGCTCTGTTTGAGAACTGGTATTCATACCCGCAGAAATTTGCCGTGATTTCGCACCCACTCACTGGTGTCCCTCTCGTTTTCTTCTTTCGGACCGGAAGTCTTCGAACATGCGTGATCAAACGTTCCATTCGATACTTCTGTTACTCCACGCCAATCAACATCTGGAAAACAAGATATCGCGTGACTTGTTAAGCATTTAGCCCTTATTTTCGAGTGGAAGCTAACGATTCTAGAAAAGAGAAGGTTATCTTGGCGAAGTACGAGTCTCCAAAGCCTTGATGAATTAAATTGATTCAGTCTAACATCAACATATATGAAAATCGTCGTCGTGCATGCCCTTTTCAAACGGTGAGCGAAATTAGATGCAATTATAATAATCATCATGAAAAATGTATTACCTGCAGTAAAAGACTTTTACAAAAAATCTGCGAGGAGAAGCCAGACCTGGTGAGCGTGAATTTAACCAGCGACCAGCTTGTATGTAAGGTCATGTAATCCCCAAGGCGATGAAATATTGGGCTGTGGACTCCGGTCACGCATGGAACCGTCACTCAAAAGGCCTTTCAGTATTGCAGCTCAGCTCTTCACTATCGCCTTTAGAAGTAGTCGGCTGTGAAATTTTCTTCCCTTCCTTTTAGTAGGACCGTCGGCAAGTTTCCCATAGAACTATTTAGTATTCTTAAGCAAACCCCTAATCGCAGACGTAGGAAATCCATCGTTTTTTGTTTTTTGTTTTTTTTTTTTTTTTGTTTTTTTTTTCCAAAGAACTGTATTGGTAATGAAGTATGGGGTCATACGGAAATATTGCCTGAAAGTACTTTTATAATAGCAACTCCCTATTGCCAGACGCTTTGTAACTTTGCGAAGCAAACCAGGAATATCTTTGTTCGCTATTATTTTGCGAGCGGGAACATACTCAATTACATAATATGTAGTGTGGAAGAACTGCGGAAATATCGACTCCATAAATACTGCTCGGGTGCAGTGTGTTTAAGAAGGTTATTTTTTGCGAAATTTGATCTTTACTATTGTGAGATTTTTCTCTTTGATTAACCTCTGTAAATAATTTATTCATCTCCAAGTTTAGCTTGCCTACAAAGGCTTAAGCGTTCGTTTTGATTTCCGGACCCACTCTTCCCCTAGCCCCATTCAAACCCGGGTTGGCTGTCTTCATTCTTCAAGGAAAAGCGAAGAACACGGAGGATCGGAAGAATTTTTAGCACTCTACTGTTCAGGCGGTGATTCTTATCATGGTGTTTGTGCTACTGAAGCAGGTCAATAAGAAAAAGAAAAAACTTTGCAGCAAGAATCAGGGTTGTGGGATTGTCTAGATATTAAAAAATTATGCCATGTTTCCTGTTGGGTGTGGGAGGAGGTTGGGAGAAGAACTCTCCTCTATACTTATAGGAATATGCTTTTCTCACGATGGGATTAACTGGCTTTTAACTGGTTTTAATTTGAGAACAGGATAGCTAGATTTTAACCACTATGCTATCAAAAAATTCATGATTAGTATAATATTATTTTATGGGGACCAGTGTCCAGAGCATGTAAATTTGTTTGTCTTTTGAAGTCTGTATGAAAAATAAAGAATTTGAGAGAAGGTGCCAAAATATATCCTTTGATAAAAATTTTGAATGAATTCAATTTCAACAATTTCCAACCTCAGCAACAATGCCTGAGGCTGAAAATGTTAACAGGTATATTATTTATAAACCTACAAGAAAGTACAATGAATTTGCAAACAAGGTAAAATGTTCAGCCACTTCTGAAATGCATATGATTTTTGAGGCCTGGCTTGTTCACAGGTAAGGAGAATTCATCATCTTTCAGTCCAAACTGGATTGGGATGCGGAGAAGTATTGCAATTAATGCAGCTGACTTCCTGCTAAGATTTCTGAGCTTTAAAGAAATGTTTTGTTGGAGATAAGGTCTTTGCAACCAGTTGAATTCAGGTCTTGATCAGACCAGACCACCAATTTGAGATTCTTCAACCAAGCAAATCAGCTGTGTAAAAGTGGACAACAATTAAGTTTATTTCTTCGATCTGGTACAAACTATTACTGGCTGCTTAAAAACACACTTTACCCTAAAGTCCTTGCAATTTCAAACTATGATACTTTGAACAGTTGAACTAAATGACCACTGTGGTATTATATAACTTGATTTTTTGCATGATGGTGTACAGTTTATCTTTTATGGTTCTGATCAATGCACATCTAGCTGTGCCATTTTTTTTTTTTTACTTTTTTGTTAGTTTCACCTCATTACAAATATGCCATTGTTTAATTTTTTTCTTTCTAAAGCTTGGTACAATTAAGTCGCAAAAATGAAGTTTAAAAAAAACCTTGTCAGGGGTATAGAAAGGGTAATTTGGAAAGAAATATGTTAACAAAAACAATAAGGCATTTCACGGTTGTGAACTTATAGTTGCCAAGCTTTTGACTTGCAGTAAGGCTGAAGGTGACCATATTGTGATAGAGACCATTATCTTGTTAGCATGATATCAAAGTAACTTACATTTGAGAAGCTGGAACATGTGTATCATTGAAACAAGGTCAAACTTGTAGCCTCACTCCTCTTCAAAGGCTTGGCAACCAAGCAGGCAAGTGTAAAATGGACTATTCAGACACAATGCAGCTTCAGCAATTAATCTTAAACAGTATGATTCCCCCTATCTCTATTACTATGTAACTCAGGGTTCTAACTCTTAAAAGATTGAAACATGTCTCAATTAAGGCCATTTTACAGTTGTGTACTTAGCTGCCAAGCCTTTGATTTGGAGCGAGGCTGAAGGTGATCTTGATGTGATAGAGACCAGTATCTAGTAATTTGCATTTGAAAAGCAGCAAGGTTTGCATCATAACAAAGTCAACCAGTCACACAACCGTAAAATGGACTACTATTAATCTTCCTTTATCAAATTGTTCAGGCTTTAAATTGAATAACAGCATGGTTGTTTCAATGTTTCTATGTTTCAATTCATGAGCACTGTCCCATGCACCCATCTTATGATCCCAACCACCTGCAACAAAACTCTTTGTTCAATCTGTTTTTGCTAAAGGAGACTTCACTTTTGAGACCCCCTCTTAATTCATAACCCTTCCCTCTTCCCTACAGTTTTTTAAGGTTTGGGGAGGGCATGTTGGGAGCTGCAAATTTGATTATTGGTTATCATTAGATTATTATTGAACATGGAATTATATTAATTAGAAAATCAAAAACCAAGTAGCACACAGTGAGGCACTCACGTCACCTTGTAAATGTGTGGCTGTGACTAAAAGTGGGACGTGGAACCCTAAGCAATTTACTAAACCCTGTCTTGCTCACTCATGGGAGTTAAAGGGCTAAAAACTGTTCCACTCGTAGGTTTGTAAGATTTCATATAAATGATGATGATGTGTTATATGTATTAAGTCAGTGAGTACTAAATGATGTAATATAAAAAGCAATTGTTGTAATAACTTTGATTATAACTGCTATAATGATCCGTAACATGGAAATAATGGAAAATTTGTAAAAAATTGTGAAAACGTTTACAGGCCAGACACTATTATGATATTTGAAAAAAAGAAAATATCATAAACTCCCCTTAGGACATTGCTATTTGCACCAAAATGAACCGTTATTTTACTCTCTGTATTCTAAACTACGTATAAAGGTTAAAAACTTTACATCTACTAAGTTTTTTCGTTGCAAGTTTGCTATTGGAGTGGATTGTGGGTCATTATCAAGTACACACAAGTGTGTATTCAATTGAGTAGTTCCGTAATAACTTGCCAATTAACATTTGATAAATACGTCACCCCCTCTCCCTCCCCCTCTCCCCTCCCCCCCCCTTACCAAAAAAAGGGGACTTCGAGGTACGTACTGTAACTTGCAGACCAAGTTTTTTCGCTTGGATTTAAAGCACACACCACTAAAAAGAGGTTAATAAGTAATTTATAATATCTCAGTCTGGGTTCCAATAGAGGGAGAAGATTTCAATTCTTTCAAACTTTTGTATTTTTGTATTTGGCAGGCCGTATAGTGAAATAACGCCTGCGCACGTACTAAATGAGCGACATACTTGGTGAAAATACCTAGTGTAAAACATACCTGGTGAATGGACCGACCCTTAGCCGGTAAACAATATATTTATTTATTTTTTAACTTAACGAAATTCTTTCCGAAAGGACCCGAATGATTTAGGGCTGTAAATACGACAAGATCTTCCATAAACAGAACGGTTTTTGAGCGAGTAAATGGTAGTTAAAATAGAGGTGATACAAATTAAAGAGAGATGCTTCACCGAAACATTTTCATTTGCGTAATGATAAAGGTGATTTAAAAGGCTTCCAAACAAACTTTGAAACATTATTTTCACAAGTACCTGTCTCCATCTGACACCTGTCGATAAGAGAGCGCGTAAGGAAAAAAAACGCATGTACACGTTTGAAAAACAACGAAACTAGTTCGGCAAGGACTGTCACGACAATGTTTTCTTCAAAAACAGTCTATGATCTAACGGAAAGTATTATTCATTCTCATCGACGATTAATTCATGTAAGAAGATTTATCTCTGTTCATTAAGTAAACGGCGAGGAAAGTAATTGTAAGTAAATGCAAATTTTTTATTTTGAAGTTGTGAGAGTTTGCTCGTTTGTTTGCTGCAGTGGCGTGTGTAAATCTGGTCTTTCTCCTGCAAAAACTAAATTCGAATGATACACTCCAACGAGACTCAAGAAGATTTAATGCGGCCTTTTTTCATTGAATTCCTCCAGTTTTTGTTGTGCAATTTACGGTACAAATGTCCAAATTTATGATTCCCTCCCCCACCCCCTTTGGCCGAAAAGCAACCATTTCAGAGTTTTCGAAGATATTGGTGCGTATTTAAACTGAAAATTTTGATGATCCTTTTTTCTTCTTCAATACACCAAGATTCAAAGGAATGGGCTACACCAACATTTACAAGCCAATGTCGAAGCCCATTTTGAACTTAGCTTGTGCGAGGTTACAAATACCTGAGAATGAACCATTATCAGAAAAGACGAACTGGAGGGTTTAGTTACAATAAAAACAAACCTGAGAGAACTCGATGCTGCGATGAATGGTGTTTTGCAAAGAATAGGCAATACCGAGGAATCAATCAAAACGGTGAAATTCCAGCTGTGAAGCAAAATAAACAAACAGTTGTCACCCTTTGAGGCGCGATTAACTGTCATCGAACGGGAAGGGGAACTGCGTGATGAAATGATAGAAAATTATCGTAGAATCCAACAAAATTTACAAGGCGAAATCGAAACAATAAGACGAAAGATACAAGAGCTACCAATCACAAGGCCAGAAAGCACTGGCAAGAGGCTGCAAGTTGGTGCCCTTGGAATGAGCGCCTTTCAGCTTCCAACATTGGTGGGCCCTTCGGCGCCCCCTCTCCCAAGACCAACAGGCCTTCCCCGAAGTCAGAGGAGAATTTCTGGAGTCGCCCAGCTTGCAGATATGACGGACGGTAAAAGCTGCGCCTTTTCTGCTGACGAAACACGAACTCTATCTCGAGAGGTCTCAAATGATGTGCACGTCGGCAATAAGTTTGTCTGGAAATTTACCCAAGTTGATGACTGCCTTCAGAAAGCTAAGGAGGGATCAAATACTCATCACTATATATAGTGAACCATTCCACACTGGTCCATACGGTTAAAAAATGCGCTTGGAATTGCATCCCAATGGACGCAATGACGGATTGAACACTCATCTGTCGATTTTTGTGCGTTTAATGAAAAGTGAATACGATGGAATTTTGCCCTGGCCTTTTGACAAGAAAGTTACAATTACTCTTATTGATCAGCAGCCTTGTCCAAAACTGAGGCGAAATATTCATATGTGTAGTTATCCAAGGAACGATGGGCACCTTAGTCCTTGCTACTCCAGGCCGGTAGAGGAAAGAGCTCAGAATATCGCTTTCGGATTTTGCAAATTTGTTACGCAGGAGCAGCTTAAAACTAGACATTACATCGTAAGCGACACGCTATTTTTCTGTGTGGAAGTAGACACTCTAACCTTTATTGCGATAGTTATTCCTGTCTTAGAGAAGTAAACTGAACTATGTGGAAAGAACTGAGACAAAACTGAATAAATAATCATATCTGCTGATATTCAGGGTGATAAAACATGTCAGATAAAGAAAATGATCATTCACTTTTTATACCACAGAAGATCGTTTTTGAGTTTTTATGTGGTGATTGAAGAGTTTGTGACTTACAATTACGCGATTATGAACACTCTTAAAGTGCTAGAAAAAAAAAAAAAAGAGAAAGGAAATAGGTTTTTTTTCAGTTACTTAATTTTACTTGAATTCAGTTGATTTTCACTTAGCTGTGTCTCTTGAATGTCTTGTCGGTTTCACAATGTTAATACGATAAAGGGTGTTGAAGTTTGTTCTTCAGTGTTATAACAGTTGTCATTATGAATATTACAGAACTGTACATAGTACGTATCATCAGACAAGTCAATCCACTTCCCAAGTTTATGTTTCGATTCATTAGGCAATAAACTCCCCCAATACCAACATTGCGAAGCCACTGGTATATATGTAGACAGAATCGTTACAAACACTAAAAAACGGTACTTTAGTTCCTCAATAAAAAAGGAGTGTCAGGAAAACGAAGAAAATTTGGCCGAAAAAGCATTTTGGCACTTGTTGTTGATTTTCATGAGAGTAAAAGGATTCGCGAAGAATCAGCGACTTGATCACATCGTAACTGAATTATCTGTTGTTCTCTTTCCTGATATCTATGTCATTAAAGCAATCGAACACACTTTCCCGGGTTTAGAAACGAAATAAACCTAGTCTGGATGCTGCGAGAACGCATGAAAATCTTGTAAATCATTCGCTTCACGGCTCATGATTTACAAGCTTTTTAAGTGTTTTCCATCAGTTTTATCACGTCATGAAACCTGGAAAATTTTGCTCTATTGCTGAAACGCGCCCTCTCATTAGTGGGTGGTGTGGTTAGATTTGAGTATGTTAGCCAAGTTGGTGATGTTTCAGATTCGCGCGCATTTTTTGAGAAATGTTTCAAAGAGACAATACAGAGGCCGTTTTCGAAATGCCACCCTTACGTGCGTGTGATGCTGTAATGACTTAAACAGCCTTATCTGACAATCGAGGGGACAACATTTCTGGTTTCCTAATTGTTGGCTATTCCCTCTCAGGCTATATTTTCTAGGATATGGTTTCTATACCGTTGATCAGCTACTGCTACTGCATGTTCAACTAAATATTACCGAGGATATTAACAAACGTTGTCCGAAGAAAATGTCTCTCTTCAACAGAGAATGGAAATCTTTTATCTTTCGCCGGGTGGTCATTCCGTAACTGACGTGTCGATCCGGACCACGGCGCTGTCGGCATGTCGGCAGGAGACAGTTGACATGCGTGTTACCATGCGTGACCTCGCTTCACAACACACGTAACACTCTCATTTGCGTACCCTCGAAGCGTCATGTCTACGTGTGGATTTGACTACGAGTTCGTTGCGAAAGTGCCTAGAGAATATATATGTCCAATATGTGAATGTCCTATGCGGGGACCGGTGCAGACGAAATGTGGCCACAGATTTTGCAAGCGGTGTCTAACAAAGGCGATGAAAAGGTAACATAAATCTGGGTTGCATGTGGGAAGTGAAGCTGAAAGCCACGCTATTTTTTCCAAATATGCAATTTTCCGTACTTTGTTTTCTGTTTTTAAAATTTCCAAATATAAAGTCAACATCGATGGCTTAATTACTCGCTGACGAGTTGCGAGCGATCGTGAACATTTTTTTATTATTAAAGGTATGCAAACAAAAAAAAAGAATGCATTCGCAAATCGTTAATTCGCTGGCGTTATAATCATCAGAAATTATAATCTGCGATGTTATTTTCCTCAAACTATTATTTTAAGCTTTTTTAAGTTTAAAAGAAGTAGGGGCGCCTTGTAAAGAAGCAACGTTGTACTCTCGATTGGGTACGATGAATCACAATAATGCAACTTGTTGGGAGCCCAGTATAGCTTACATAAGCAATGCTATGCGTGGAGAACACTTTACAATTATCTAGCTTCCACTTTCAAGGTTCTACCAAGTTTATCCTTTTTCTGTTTGTTATCTTAATTTCTTTGTTTCTTTAGTTATTTACTAATTTTTTTTCCGTCTAGAAAGGAGGTACATCCATAAACTTTTAAATTAAAGAAACGGAAGTAATAAGAGTTTGGGGGAGACCAATTGCAATATTACCATAATATTATGAATTCCCTTTGAATTTATCTAGTTCAAAAGTTAGTGTACTTAAGGCATCTGTTCGCCAAGTGTCAACCAATACTATTAGTTGAAATTTCGACCAAGTGTCAATCATTACATTGGCCAATACTCAGATGTCATGTTAATCAAGTTGCTAGATCATCAGTTGCTCCTGTTGGTTGACACTTGGCCAACACCTCAATTGCTATGTTGCCATCAACAGTCAGCAGCATTTCAGTCCAATGTCAGTGGTGTATCAGTGGACTGTTGGACATTTAAGAGAATTGTTAACCATTGTTTTTCTGGAATGACGACGGTCTCCAACCCCCCTACTCACAGGGGACATGAAAGAAGAGATTCAAGGGGCTAGAAAAAATAAGTTAATAGTTGAATTCATAAGATAGAACTCAATAACAAGAGCTGCCCAAGTGACAGTAGTGTTGACCGAGTGTCAGTAAAGTTGATTGGCCAAGTTTCGGCCGCATGTTTGTCACTCAAGAGGCAACTTAAATGTCAGTGGGTATGTTGGTTGATACATGTATGTAGGTCAAGTATCAGCTGATATTTCGACCAACACTCGGTGGACATGTTTCCTAATATTATTATACATTCAACTCACTATCTCTTTTCTGATTGGCCAAAAGCTAATGGTGAATTTTTTAAATCGGTGCCTGGGATGTCATCTAGCTGCAGATTACACAATAATAATGTCAAGGACACTCAAGGTCATGGGTAATCATGTCATGTATAATGGTGGTGCATGATTTCTAAGGGTAATCATGTCAAGTTTGGGAGCTAAATTGTGTTGCTTGCTGATTTGTATATTTTTACATTTTTAGAATTAAATAATTAGTTCCACTTACTGTCATGACAATTATTTTTTTGGTCAATTATGTATAATAAAACAATTTTTAGATTCAGCTTTTGTGACATCCAGAATAATCAAGGTCTCCATAAGGGCTATCAGCCTCAGCCTTCAGCTTCAGCTGATAACCCCTTACCTCAACCTTGATTATTCTGGATATCACAAAAACCTCATCCAATAATTGTTTAATATTAACCAATAATCAACTGACAAATGCCTTAAGTACGCATGATCCCAAAAGTTTCCAAAGAGGTCTGCAAATATACAAATATTGCCAGGGTGAACGAATATATACTAGTAGCTTCACAATTGTTGTTGTGAAGAGTTCATACTGTTTATGGTTGACAAAGGGTAGACTTATTAATCAGGAGTGTTTTTCATTAGCAAAAGAGAATGTCCCATTGACCGCCAATCTCTTGATTTACGTTTTAAACAGGTAAGAAGTGTATAGTGTTGTTATTCATCTTCATGGAAATTTTATGCTAACAGATAAAAATTTTCATTAGTATTAGTGATGTAAGGATGAGATATTGAAAGAAGTAATCACTATACTTGGACATTTGTAGAACAGCTTGCTCAGTTGTTAGTAAATGTTCATTGTCTTTCCTCATTTTCTGTGATCTCTCTCCCTGTCTACTAGTCTTTCTGTCTGTCTGTATGTCTGTCAGTCTGCCTGCCTCTCCTTCTCTCTCCCCTGTTTGTTTTTACTCGGTTTTTTTTACTTATTCATCTCTTTCAATTCCACTTAAACATAAATGCACCTATCATGTGAAGTGGAAAAAATATTGGATATTTAAACTAGGTTGCTAACTAGCTACAATTTTTATTGCTGCATTACTTTTGCAAACCAAAAGTACTCACAAATGTACAGGTGTATGTTAAATTCATAAAAATGCATAGTTTCCATCCCACATGCCATGGAGTTGCCATGGCCTTAAACTTAATCATTTCATGAGGTTCATTGTAAATCTAAGTGGAGCCTGCTGAGAACACTGCAGATTTATTTTTTCTCCTACCTCAGTCTATTTTCAATTATTTTGCAAGATTTCAACAATTTCAAGTAAAGTAGTAATTTTATCACAAAAAATTTCTTTTAGGAGCATGAAGGTTTTAGGCAATAAAATCTTTAAAAGGATCCTTTTAAGATCTTTGAAAGATCCTTGTTTTGTCCTTGAGGATCTTGAGGGATGCTTGCACAAATCTTGAAAAGATATGGACAAGGATCCTTGAAGATCCTCATGATCAAATCCTTGCAGATCCTAGCAGAGATCTTGCCAAGTCTTGACAAGGATCCTTGTAGATACTGATCAAATCCTTGAAGATCCTAAACAAAGATCTCAAAAAGTTCCTTGAAAGAATCCTTGTTTTGGCCTTTAGGAGCTTAAAGAATCCCTACAGAAACCTTTGCTAGGATCTTTATTAGGATCTTTGCATAGAATCCTTGGAGGTCTTTATTAAATCCTTGAGATCTTAGCATTTAATTATTTGCATAGGAAGACCTTTGAAGGTGTATCACAACTGATCCTTTAAGGATCCTTGTCTTTAAGAATCTTTGGCAGGTCTTTGGCAATCCTTAAAGGTCCTGTGAGATCCTGTTTTTTCACATTTGAGTCAACTTTGATTTTTTTTTGGGTCAACAATTGCCTTATCATATCTTGGAATTAGGTCACCAACTAGCTTAATTGCAGTACATTTACAAACCAAAATTGCTTACTAATGTTGAATTCACCCCACATACCTGGTAGTTGACTTTCATGCTAATGTAAGTTAATTTTTGTTCATTCTGAAAATTTTCTTGTCATTTTGGTGTTTATATGGTATATAAACAATTCCTTGAGAAATTGGATGAATTTACAGGTAAAGCTCTAGAAAAATAAACTTTGGCTATCAGTCTGATCATTTAAGGGTGAGTTTTAATTTTTGATTGGGCTCATTCTCATCATTTAAGGAGAAATTGTAATTTTTAAATTAAAATTCACCCTTACATGGGACTGAGCTCCAAAGTTTATTTTTTTAGTAAATTCAGAACTAGTTTGTTTATTTCTTCTATCATTTATTTCAATGTTCTTTTTTCCAAATTTGTTTCTGTCCCTAAATTCCAAAGGACATATATCCAGATGTTGCCACTGAGAGGACCATTTTGGATTTATGTGTGAAATGCCGTAACGAAAAAAATGGCTGTAAATGGACTGGAGAACTCAGGAATATAGCGGTCAGTTATGGTTCTTTACCTTATTTGGCCAGGTTGTAAAGTTTTATAAGAAAGAGCAATTAATTATTCTGTTATTTAAAATACATGAAAGTTAAGGAGATACAAAATATAATAACCAATCTCAACTGTTCTAATCCTTCCTCTCTAATATAACTGTGAAAGATGGGACATGTCTGACCTTTTGATTAATTTTGCCTCATCCACCTAATTGCATTAACATTGTTAAAGAAAAATGCAAAAAGCAAAAGGGAAAAAGGAAGTAACTAAAATTAAATACATTAGGAAGCAATTCATTAACATATAAATCTCTTTCTTAGGATCTTAATGGTTCTACAACATAAGTTTAGTTGATTTTTTAATGATTTAGTTACCTCCTACTTTTTACTGTGTTGCGGTTTATTTCTCCTAGTACATAAGTTGTGTCTAAGAAAAGCATTCATGGAAATTTGGATTTGCATGCATTGAAATTTTTATTTTCCATTTTAGTGTTTTTTCATTTCAACTGTTTCCTTTTTCAAACGACAGTGTTTTTGCAATAAGTTCTACCTACCAACCATCATGCTAAGGTGAATAAATCAAATTTAATTCAGACTAGATAGCTTGACTGTATGCTCAGCACCATGCCAATTAACCTATTTCTTACCGGTAAGAAAACAAAATTTGTTCATTATGTTGCAGTCTTGACTGGCCATGGATAGATAATGTGGCAGTGCTGTTATTCTGATGTCATGGACATACCTTAGAAATATGTTTGATTGTTCTTGCTTTTTTTCAGGAACATGAATCTAAGTGCAGTTTTGTAGGGGTAAAATGCACTAACAAAGATTGTGAAGCTACTCCCTTGAAAAAAGATCTGAATTATCATGCAACAAAGGAATGTCCAAAGAGGAATGTAGAGTGTCACTACTGTAAAATTTTCTTTGTTTGGTGCAATAAACAGGTGAATATCAAGAACAATATTTTTGTTTTGTTTTATTTTCTAGTAGTTAATTTTTTCCCTATCACAAAAGGCAGTTAAAATTGGAAGAGGCAGCTGGTATATATATGGTGAAGTTAAAGAGATTGGTAGTGTTAGCACCATTATATGTTATACTAAGTGTTTATAACTTATACAAAGAGAGAAGGGTAACATCCCCTCAGGGACAGAGTTGACATTTTAACTCACTCGGAAAGGACAGTTAGAGGGCTTGAGTTTCAGTCAGGGATGGCCTCCTTAAGAACAATGCGTTTTTCAAAATCAGGTGTTTAAAATTTTCATCTAAAGATGTTTTGACCATAATGTATGACCATAAGGAAGTCAGAATATTCTCCCTGAGTTATATTGTAAACGTACTGAAAGAAAGCGTTGCATGGTTATCTATTAGGGACATTTGGACGTGTGTACGAAGTATCCGATGGTTTGTCTTCAAAAATGTGGTGAACTCAAAATTCCAAGAGACAAGGTGAGTATCACCCACGATCTGTTAAACAAATAGGTAATTTGGTGTTAACAACTGAGTTGAAAACGTAAATTGGCCACCGTAAAGAGTTAAAAGGCTGACATTTCGAGCGGACGAAGGGCTAACGCTCGAAACGTCAGCCTTTTAACTCTTTACGGTGGCCAATTTACGTTTTCAACTAAGTTGTTAACACCAACTTACCTGTTATACACTCCCACCGACGCAGCACCACAGTTTCTTTAGAAACTTACCCCCTCTATTTATTTAACAAACAGATTCTCTATTGCCGTGTGTCTGCTCAGTACTAATAGATCACAGATGACGTCAAAATGTGATTAGACACAAAAGTGGCTCACGATCGAGGCGCGGCCAGTCTGACACTGATGAACGTCTCACCACAATTTGACTTCCTCTTTTATCTATTACAGAACAGATCCACGGCAACATGGAATGTATTTGTTTCATATTCTTAAAAAAAATAAAATGTTTTTACGTCATCTATGCGTCTGTCCTCCAACAGATAATAAGTAAGAACCAATTAAAATTAATGTATAATTCAGGCTTATCAAGTACACTATTTAAACTGCACACGACACTATGAGCACCATTTGCTTTCTTTTCAGATGAATGATCACATTGAAGAAAACTGTCCCCATACCAAGGTGGAGTGCACATTTGCTTATATTGGTTGCAAAATAAAGGTACGTCAGAGTATTAAAACAGATTGCCCCTTCTCATTAATTTCTTACTCTACAGCTTCGCACTCCTTCTTATAGATATTGAAAGGTATATTCTTATATATAATACAAAACAACTTACTCTTGATTGGTCCATAACGAATGCATAATAGATTATCCAGATTTATACGTGGTATCTATATTGGATTCTCGCGAGATTCTAAACTATCTCGAAGAACTTTAAGCTTGGTTCATCTGTCATAGTTATTTTGCTGATTGACCAATTAAAAGAATAAAGGTATCATTGTCTTAAAGTGCACAAAGGACGTCAGAGTATGATAAGATAAAAACTGCTTGATCTATGCATTAGTTTCCTGATTTATCGTCATTCGGCGGTTCGTGCAGTTACAAGACTTTCAAAACATCAGTCGTATCCAAAAACCACGCGATGCACAAGCAAGTCGTGCCTTGTCCTCTGCTTACATGAGGACAAGGCACGATTAGGACACCTTTTAACTGAAGTGCTGTGAAATATTTCCCAAAGGTCCAAAGGAAATCCATCTCAGATCACCTAAGGAAATGTACTGAATCCCATCTAGAGTTGGCTTGTGGGAGGCTTCAGGAACTTCAGGTGTCATCAACTGCGATTACTGCCACTGTTGAAAGAATGCAAGCTGAAATGGTGACAGCCTCGAAAAAGATCGAGGAATTATCAAATGCAGCTCAGAAAAGCGAGGGAGTTCAAGATCTACATGAAAAGATTACTCTAACAAATAAGAAATTGAAAGAACTACAAACTAAAAAGGATGTCTTTGAACTTACCTCTGGACTTGAGGCTGTGCGTGCTGAAGTTGGTGTCATTAGGACACAAATGGAGGCGCTCTCCGAAAAAGACAAAAAGTTGGTGGAACTCCGTGAGGCAGTCATTAGTTTGCAAAAGAAAATCCAAAAAATTGACAGCCAGCAAGTGTCACATGGAGACGTGTCCAAAATCAAAACAAAACTCCAAAACCTCCAAAAAGCATTTACTAGTTTGGAAAATCAAACAAGTAGCAATGTTGAAATTGTGAGGGAACAAATCGACTCTGTCCAGTGGAAGATCCATGCAACTGTTTGGTCGGATAGGAAACAAAATCAATCCCGTTTGGACGAAACTGTTAAAGATTATTCTGCTAGACTGGATCAAATGAAACACTTCATTGTTTGTGTCGTCATCATAGGTATGTGTTTCCTTCACTCGATTTCGATCTCATCATTTTCAAGCAAAGAGGAATTGAAAGTTCTTCAGGCTTCAAGTGCAGAGATCAAGCAGTTTGTATTTGAAAACACACACTTTCTCAAAGATGAGTCAGCATGCCAAAGCATCAAGTTTTTTTGGTCGTTCTCCAACTTCAGGTCGCGTTTTGAGAAAGCGATCGCTGCTTCACAGCGTTGTTTTTTCAGTGAATCATTCTTTGTGGAGCCATACGGGTACAAAATGCGCCTTACTATTTGCCCAGATGGACCACCAGAAATTAACTTTCATCTCTCTGTGTATGCCCAATTACTTAGAGGTAGGAATGACGACCAACTAGTGTGGCCTTTCCAGCAGAAAGTGGTGTTCACCTTAGTCGACCAACAAGATAATACATCTAAGACTAAAAACATTAGAAAAGCTCTAACACCTACAAGAAAGGGCATGCCAAGATGCCAGCAATTGAAGTTCGCCAGACCCTCTAAATCGCATGATGTGAATAATGACGTATTTGGAATCCATAGGTTCATTTCCCATCTCGACCTTAAAAAAAGACGTTACGTACGCGATGACACAATTTTGATTCAATTCGAAGTCTATCCTCCCCTCTGTGATTGAAAATGTGAGACCACAGTGTAGCAAAACCATATACACACGTATACGTTCATTGTACACAAATGTGAGCTAAAAATGTTCAATGGTTCTGACCACGCTGACAGTGCGACAGCTGCGAGGGGTAAGGCCACAAATAACTTTAAGACTGTAAAAAGATTGAATAAGTTTTGCAAAGGGAGGGCCATCCAATGTTTGATTACGTGTGCGCAAGTTAGACTACAGATTTTTAAGGCATTTTAAAATGTAGTTTAGTGATTTGAGAGCACTGAATTAGCTTTTCCACGAAACAGTTAAATCGACTGTGGGCGCTGCGGTAAGATTTCTGAAGCCCAAAGCAACAAGTCGGTGAGTTCTTTTTCGAAAAGAGTCAAGGTCAAAGCTACTTGCTTCGTTTGGCCCGTGCCGCAGTGCCTATGAAAAGCCTGTTTGGGGAAAGTGTTGGACAAGACGGGGTGTGTCTCCTAGTAGAGTAAACGACCAGAAGCACGAAAAGTGCGGAGTAAGGACCTCTAAAGTGGGTTTTGTGAGATAAATATTCTCCATATATTTGACATTCTAGTAGATACGAAAAGTAAAGATTCACTGTAAATTTTATAGTATGTTAAAAGACGCCTGGTAAATAGATTAGAAATCATCTGGCATGTAGCCCAATATTAAAGGTTCCTACATGTTTGCACCATCTGCTATATATTACTGGACAGAAGCACAACAACATAGAATCTCTGTATTTTAACATAACTGATAATATGAATGGAATTCACTCGTAGAGTAAAAGACTTATAGGAAAAAGACAATCGTGATTACTATTAAGTTTTAATTCTTAAACTATTTCATTACCATAATTCATGATGAATATACCACTGTAAATGTGCATTTTGAACCACTTTTCATTAAATCGTACCGAAAAAAATTCAGGTATAGACATCGCTTCCTCAAAATGGATACTTGCTTTGGCAAGTAATCCAGGACTATAGATCGTAATCTCCATGGAAAATTCTCGAGAACTTTCTATCTTTGTGTTCCACAAACGCGACTTTGATAAATATTGTATCGTCTTTGATGTATGAACGCTTGTATAGATCGTTGTGATACACGAATTCCCAGGAACCACATGCTTCTTCGGAGGCTTCTGTTGGTCTTGCGAGTCCATTGGGAGTCTGCTGAACTTCTTGACGCAAATGTCTTCTCTTTTCCACGGACGCGTTTTGGTCAAGTAACGTGAACACAACTGAATCGTAAAACGGCCATATCAAAAGACCGTCATATTCTCCTACAAGAATTCTGAGGTAAATTGACATGAATTTTCCCTTACCGCCAGGATCGTCATCGATATGGTAGCCATTTGGATACAGCTCCGCCTCAAATTTGTATCCATTGTGATTAGAGTAGAACGGATCACTAATTATTACAAGACGTTCCTTTGTTTCAGCAGCCTTCATAACAGAGGCAAAGTTCGATATTTTCCATATAAAGGGGGAATTGTGAAGGCGTTCTAACTTCTCTTCAAGACGTGCAATAGTTTGAGCTTGTTTTTGGACTGTTTTGGACATGTCAATCAGTTTCTTGCAGGCCAAGTGTAGATGGGTGTCTTTTAATGCATCAAAATGATCTTTGGAATCTCGTCTCTGAAACTGGAGAAAGTTACGAAACAACTTTGTGATTTGCTTATTAACCGTGTTGTGCAAGGATTGCTTACAACAACAACGGCCTTAATAAATTAACACTGATTTATATATGAAGTTATGGTATTCAGGTGCATATTACCTTGACTCGGCATCCAATGGCACTGTACTCACACTCTATCACAGTCAAAGGGCAAAGATTTTCAGTGTGGTTACCGACCTGTATGACATATCAATCGATAAATCATATCATTAGTGAAAAAGCTATATTACTGAACGTATAGTTAAATTCTCAACCTCAACCTGTCGGCAAATTTTATAAGAATCAATGAGGTGAAATCCAATCTCAGTACCTCTTCTCGTGGTATGTCGTTCACGCCACACTTGTTACTGCATTCAACGGGATAGCGCGGACAGGCCTCAGAGTGAGCCTAAAGAATGGGACGTAAGAGTAACATCAGGGTGTGTTTTCTCCCTACTACTCTCTCGATCCTAGGAATCTGCTTGGTTCTCAGCAGTTAATTATTTACAAACAAAGCAGTCGCAATCTGGCGGAGCAATTGATCTACCAGGGACTGCGCAGAGGACTTTTTTTGTAAGAATAAGAATAAATTAAACAAAAAATAATTTAACAAAAATAACGGAGAAATACCCCCCCCCCCCTCAAAAACTTGTTGTACGGTTGTTGTTCAAAAGCCACTTCCCTTTTTAGGCACCAGATCAGTAAATACCAATACCTTACTGGCCACTGATAAACCATACTAAGGCGATTTAGTTGTGTGATTTTGTAAAATGACTGTGATTTACTTTTTATTTCAATTCGAATCAAAAGTATGATTTCAAATCAAACTGAATTTCATCCCGTTCATTAACCACGAAATATTGAGTATCTTTGTGGGTTACCAACCACTAACCTTTTTCTCTAGTTTTGGGAAACGATCAGGACAGAATGAGCATTGTATCACGGACCATGGGCACGTGGTCTCCATGTGAGAAATGATATCTTTGCGGAGAACCTCTTCATTGCATCCCTCGTTAACACAAGGAACTGGCTGGTAGGGACACTCTTGCCCATGTTTCTGAGGACACAATAATACCACAATGACACCTTCAAAGATCAGGCATCACATTTATGTATCTACATGCGACCTTAGAGGCTCCCTATGATATGACATTCAAGAGATGTTCCTCACAAAACAAGGCATCGTTTGTAAATGTGCATTTTGAGTCTTCTGTTTAAAGTACTCCTTTGTAATGTAACACTAGTAATTGATGTAATTGTTGGGTGGATAAGTGGAGTGAGGTTAGTTACTGATGTAGGAGATTAACACGGATTCTAATGACCTGTTATGGCCTATATAAGGCTGCTTCCACTTGGCGACAGAGTGGAACAAATACAGAATTTTTTTATACTCAAATCAGTTTCTCTGATTTTGGGTGTCACGCGTCACACGTTATGTGACTAACCAGTTTTCTTTCTTGATAAAGACTATGTCACGCAGTTTCAGTCCCAATTCATTAAACTGATCTGACAGATTATTTCCTTAACCATCTGAATAAATGTTACAGTTTGCTGGATACTCTTTGTCTGCAATTCAAAGCTGAACCAAAGATTAAAAAAGATTCAATTGCATACCTTAACATGCCTAAGTTCTCCGATCCAGGAACACTCTTCATTAGGACATTTGACCTGGGCATTCAGTATTTTACGATGGCAAGCAACATCAGAGAAAATCTAAAATAAATAAAAAAAAATAAATTATTAAAATCAAAGAGTAAATTAACAAAATAAGCAGTGCCTTGATGATCATCAACTAGGAATTATATCATAATACTCACTCCTCAGTGTAACATCACAAGTTTAACACTCTTTTACTGCATTTAAGCTGCATCAAAGACAACACCTTTCTGCCATTTTTCTCTTCTAATCGAAACCTATACCATATTATTTCTCGCAGGCAACCACAGACAGCCCAATGGATATGGGTTCAATTCAAAATAAGCTCCTTTTAGTTATTTGTATTGTTTAGAAGTACAACTTGAAATCCTTAAGTGTATTTCTATTTTCTTGCCCTCTCTCAACTATCATTTCAAGAAAGTAAAAAACAAAAACAAAACAAAAAAAATTATGTACACATAATACAGAGGATAAAATGAGAAGATAACACTTTAAATTCCACTTGACTTATTTTTAAGCAACCCCTGCAAAGTTGCAGTCAAGTTTCGTTGTTCACACCACTCTTTTGATGACTTAAAATATCATTATTCACTGTGCAACACCATAACTGACCAGCTGAGTTAAGAAAATTTGATTCAACTATGAATAGAGAAGTGAAAAATTAAACCCATATATAGCTCAGAGAAAGTACCCTCTCTCTTGATATCGGCTCTCGATCTGCAGGACACAGGGGTGTACCGGATCTAAAACAGGAAAAATTGACGTGAGAAACTTTCGTAGGAAAAAGCTAATCACATGGGGGGGAGGGGTGGGGGTGAAGTGGTTTAGCATTCAAGGATGTTTGAAAGAGTGAAAGTCTGCCAATCAGGGGTACGCCAATCTGTCCATTTGCGTGGACTGTTTTGTCTAACCCTGTGGCCACAAACTAAAAAGGGTAAATTATTTCTAAACTTGATCACTGTTTACCAAATGCGCCGTAACTGGGGAGTGCCTATTTCCCGATGGTTCCTCTTAAAAGTAATAATATGACAAGGCACTCATAAAATTTTGTTCTGCATTGGCCTACATTGTATTTCAAGACTTCATGAAACGAGATAAGTTTCGAGCGCCAAATATAAACAGCAAGGTTTTCAGGATTAATTTATGCAAATTCCGTTTGCTTGTTTGGCACCGTTACACGTCTCTCCGTCTGAAGCGATTAAGTGCATGTAACTTGAACTCAACTAAATCCGGTCAATTGTGAAATGTCTGGCAATAATCACTGCTGAGAAAGCAGCTCCTTCAGATTGCACATCAAACCAGTTTCTCTCTGCAACAATAACCAACCGAGTTCATTCTTTACGGATTTGTAATGCAGTGTTATTAATACCGATTGACGTAAAACGTCAAGTATTTCGCAACCTTGAGCGTCGACTCGAATAAGCAAATTTTACCTAACAACTCACTCTAATCGTTGAAAAAAACACATTTTACCGCTGCAAGCGTAATATCTTGCGTAGCTTTTCCTTAAATAATTCTAAACTTTCTACGTCGTACAACAGGGAATTTTAGTCAACAAAGAACATATCAAAATATTACCTCAAAATTGACCCCACGCAGATTTCACAAAGCCTGTGGCCACACTTTTCGATTTGAACAGGATCTTTTAGAGGTAACTGACACACAAGACATTCCCAATCATCTGGAATTTCTTCAACAAATTCATACTCGTAGCCTCCAAGGTCAGGCACTCCACCGGCCGCCATTTGCAAACTGAAAAACGGAAGCTTTAAATATTACAGGCGTGACAAATTAGTCACGAACGTCATTTCCTGTGAGAGTAGAAGGCTTTTAGACATGGTTTAATGCTACTCTGGTTTACAGATTTAATGAATGTAGAAGGCTTTTGTTGCAAAGGAAATATCAATCAGGGCCCAGTTGTATAAAGGGCGGATAACGCTACCCAGCGGATAAGTGATAGCAAAACGTATAGCGTTATCCACTGGATTGAGGTTTATTCAATGGATGGCGCTATCGGACCTTCGAACAACCGGGGTCAAGTGATTGCAGTCAGCAGTTGAATTATGTTGGAAACGATGATATAATGTAAAAAATAGGAATGAAGTTGGTAGTGCAAAAAAAAATTTCAAGGATGGATCAACTGATTTTGAAAAAATTCGAATTCTCCTAGTGTAGTATATTTACGGATTTAACACAAACAGTAAAGAACACCTTTGAAAGGAATCCAACAAGTTGTTTTAATTATTAACATTGCAACACGCATGCTCCGATATTTAAACAAGGGGGGGGTGGGGAGGGTAGACTTAAACATTCACAAACACTACACCTAATGCCTGACACCCCAAGAAAAACCTCGAAAAAAACAAAAATTGATGAAATGACGTTTCACCCTTTGCACCCCAACATAAGTTTGCTAGTTCCCTATATTGTACTCTGGACGGTTCCTAAGGTACATAAAAGGAGATGTTTTTTCAATAATCAAGAGCTTCTTAGTCTCGTGGTCATTTCCTTTACTCTCTTAATTAGAAGTGATACTTTTGGGATACTCAGGGATTAAAGAGTTAAAGTAAATTAGGACATCAAGAAAGCTGATCTTCCTTGATGGAAAGAAGTTGTTTGTAAGGAGAATAGTTGAAGAGATGAACTGAATTGTTTCATCGATCGAGTGAGTAGTCCACGCCAGTTATAAGGTTATGGCAAAGTTAACTTTTATTGAACAACGATGTCACATACAAGTTACATTTTCTCCAAATATTTTATTTTAGCCAAAATACGATGCATCTGCTGGGCCTATTTCGAACTTAATAAATAGAATATCGTCCACAAGATAAAACCCTGATCTCAGTTTATCATGGGAAAGAAACCTTCCAAAACCTCGTCTCTCATTTTCCTCGCCATCTGGGCGTTTCATGCTCTTCCATGAAGCCTCGGGAACAAAGGACTTGACAAAATTGTGCCTTTGCATCACATTAGGGTTTTGGTCGAGAACCGAAAGCGTCACTTTATTTAGGAAAGGCCAAGGTAATATGGGGTCGTATTTCCCTTTCATTAGTGCAATATATAGCGAGATATAAGCGTTCTTGGCCTCTTTGGTGCCATTAGGATACATTGCGAGTTTCACTTTGTACCCTTGAGGACCGACATAGAAGGGATCACTTTCGACCCGAACCTCTTTGTCTTTCCTCGCCTTATTCACTCGCTCCCAAAACTCCGTCACTTTCCATATAAAGGGAGCGAAGGTTTCCATTTCTTTGTGCTTTAGTTTTACTTCAGTGATTTCCCTATCTATTCCAGTGAGCTTGGACTCCATTTTTCGGTAATCCAGCTTTATTTTCTCCATTTCCTGCCTCAATATTCTGGTTTCGTCTTGCACATCAGCAAGTTTTTTAACGGACAGCTCAAAATGACATCGGAGGTTTTGCTCTAGATGATCTTCTACGTCGCATCTTTTAATCTAAAATAATGGACACAGAATTATTTGAAAAAATTTTTAGAATGAATATATAAATGAATGAATGAATGAATGAATAATGGCGATGATGGTAACGATGATGTTGATGATGACCAACATTAACCTTTGCTACTCTTGCTATGATGCAATTGCAATTTCCTTGATAATTAAGTTGGCGACAGTTTGACAACTTTCCGAAGAAATATTACAGATAGACGATTAACGTAACCAATCCCTTCCTAATGTTTGAATTCTGCCAACGTCTTACGAAGGAAGTTCAAACTCGTTGCCTTTGTACACTCTTATGTAAAACTTCAGTTGGGAATCTCGAAGACATTTTTTGGTATTGTTGTGACTGTAATTAAAACACTCCCAAAAGCCGGTGACATCGGTGTGTAACCGTCTGCTACATTGTCACTTAATTTTACCAAAATACTCCAAGAAAGTTGAATTTTATTTCGAGATGTATTGCGAATAAATTTTTCTCATTTATTTCTATTGTTTTAGCGATGTGATAATCTTAGAAAGGAAAGTCAGTTGGTCAGTAATGAATATCAAGTATTTCTGAAAAAACTGAAAAACGTATTAACAATTATCCGTTATAATTAAATGTGTTGCCAACCTACCTTACTGTCACATCCCAAATAATCATACTGGCAGCTCACAACAGTGTGAGAGCAAACAACGTCCTGATGAGCCATCATCTAAACGGGGGAATTAACGAAAAATTGGTAGGAATTTTTTGGGAATCCTGTATCATATAATATCGCTTTTAAAAGAGATCCTGAGATGGAAATTGTCATTCAAGTGTTCATTCGATTCTTACACACTGACGTTTTTCCTTTTTTGGGTTTTTTTTTTTTTTTTTTTTTTTGTATCAATGCACCCGATATTTCGTTCAGATTACCCGCTACCTCCAGATGGTTTGAACACATTTTAAGTTACATAGAAAAAACTTGTTTGGGGGAGAAAGTAATATAAAATGTCTCTTACCTCTTCCTTTGCAAGAACCTCACCACAACCATTAGAACAATCGCTGGGACGTCTTCGACATTCTACAGCGTGTTTCTATCAAAAAAGATGAACGATATATATCTTCTTGTTATCAGGGTTTCAACTACAGTGTTATCGCTTCTATCGCTACTGGAATACTGTATAATTACCTCTTCATCACGTTTTGCGTGGTTTTCACCACAGTATCCACACTGCACCATTCTCCATTGACAGGTATTGGTCACATGGTCATCCACAAGTCTCTTCTCCATGGTGACATCACAGTGAGGATTCGGACAGGGAGTCATCCTGCAAGCGCAGGTCTGTAAATGAGTCTGCAGAAGGAAATCCAGGAATGATCCCACATTATTCTTCGCCGAAGTTGATCATAACTCAGCATCTTTAAGTAATTAATGGGTTCAGGAAAAATACAAACCCTTCCAACTAATGACCAAGACTTATTCAAGCTTTCTTGCCATAAAATGGACGCGTTTAGAGCACTTTTAGAACAGGAACCTTGGCCAGCAGAATAGAGTCGATCTCATGTCTCAGATACAAGCTTAGATGAAAATTATGGCTTTTGCACGTTGAAACCGCAGAGGACGGCTCACGACGTCATTCAAGATGATGTTTCTTTTAAAGACATTTTTGCTCCATAATTTTTTACCTCTTAACACTGTTTTCTATTCACCTCTTATATGAAAAAGTTTGCATGCAAAAATTGGTCTAACATAGAATTTTTGCTTAATAGTATATCTTGTATTTGCTAAATTCCAACACTTTATAGGCTGTTACATCGTACAGATAACTTGAACCAGAGATCAGTTTTCCCAAAAATCTCTTGGACTTAAAGACCAATTTCTACGAATTGGTCAACGAACACGAAAATGGACAGCTACTGTAAGAAAATAATCTTAGAGGGGGTGGAGGGTGGCTTGTATTTAATTCACTTCACTATTCACGTCAATTCTTAGGCGATACGCGGGCACCACTTGTCCTTCACAGCTAATAAACTCTTTTCTCACCTCGGCATCTCTGGTCTCCCCAGTCCACTCACATCCTATGCTTGGACATCTCACATGGCAAGACAAAATACTTCTTTCTGTCGCCTTATCGGGAAATATGTCCTAGATGGAAAAGTAAAATTATTTTTAAAAGGTACGAGATAAACAGAAACACAATGACTCATCAATTTACTTCTGGAAAACCGAGACAAACCTGTTTGACCTGCGTTGTCACAAAATTATATCGGACAACATAAAATTGGCGACTTATAACAACCTTATTTCAATGATGTAAGAAATGTCAATGTAATTGACGCTTGGGAGAAATAAGTTTTAGAAATTATAATAAAAATAAAAAACGATAACAATAACCTCCATCTAATGTGAATCACCCGTTGGAAAAAAATTCTAGCCACAAAGAGATGCACAGAAACTAAACTTTTAACTGATTAGCTATTTGAGAAATTTAATGTTTTTACTATTCGTCGTCTTTTTAACGATTGAGGTACGGTCGACAATGCTGAGTCGATGTACTCGGTTATCATTGCATCACTCAGTTTGATTTATACACATTGAATGTTTACGCATGAAAGATATTATGTTTCAAACAAAACACTGAGGGGATCAGCATCAATATTTTCAGTATGATCATTAATCATTTTCCCCGGTAACTTGTTCTATGTGAACTTTACCCGCGCCATTTCATTCGCCCACCTCCATATTAACATTTTACATAACCAAACCGAGACGAGCCGGCCACCCATGATGTCACTGAACTAAGACATTTGACTTGTGAATTCTAACATCTGCCTGAGCGACTACGACATGTTTGCAAGAACTGTACCACTACATCTTCTCTTAGATAATGCTATAGAATAATACAGTAGGCAATTAAATTTAAGGTATTTTTATCCTGGAGTTTTAAAATGGAACCTTGGTTTTTGTCCCTATGTATTTGTGGTGATGGGCATTGCGTGACATCATTTCCATTCGATCGCGTGCTAGGTAAATCACCCATGCGTCTCATCCCTGTTGTTTTATTTATTAAAACTGTCTCGAAAATAATCACAACAGTCCTTCCAGACGTCATGCTGTTCTTTAGGCCGCATGTGTCTGCCAAATTTTGTTTCTTATTCTTCCTCGATAAATTCTACAATGAGCCACATTGATCACCTTTTCTCGGTCCAATCTTTCCCTGTCAACAGGGCATTCAGGAACTTGTTGTCTGTAATAAAAAAATTCGCGAGAATAAAAACAAGAGTTAGATTAGTGAGGACACCGCCTTGGTAATCGGATTAAACCGATGAAAAGCTGTCCTTGAAGGAAAAAAGCGATCATGACACGATTGAAGAAATTTCTGTCGCTTTCGATTAAACATATCACACTTTAGTAGCGTTTAAAACCGCATTCTAAGCCGAAGAAGTTAATTCTCCACTGCTAATCATTTGCGGTATCCACAACGATGGAATAATCCAAGAAATAAAACCGGAAACAACATTAGATAGATTTTCCGTCTCGACATGTACATACAACGCAATCGTCAGAATCCGTATATACCAGAGCGATGTATTCTGAATATGAGTCTTGCCAGAAACTCTAAAACTCTTTTTAAATGAATTAGCAAGTTCTGGGAGATGGACTTTGAAATTTACGTAGTGAGTCCAATCGAAAGAACAACATTTCAACTAACGTTGAAATGTCTGACAAAGTTCCTTACCTCTTCATGGCCTCGTTAAGACATTTCTTGCAATATCTGTGCCCACACCTCGTGAGTACTGGTTCTCGCAAAGGTAGTTGACAAATCAAACAGTGAAATTCTTCAAAAACGGTCGAAACAAACTCGTACTCAAAGCCCGATATCACAGCATCCTTATCAACATCTGCCATGATAATGTCTTCTATAAGTCACGCAATGCAGAGAAGACAAGGCGGAAAATTGTGGTAATTTGATGAGGCACAGCTTGTGGTCCGATTGTTTTATGCTGTAGTGTTCAAACTATCAAGAAATTATGAAGCTGTCGTTTTCTACTGCTATTCATAATTTTAATGACATCTTTATATCTCAAATTATGGGGAAAATTGTGCTGCCAATAAAAGTGCCGGAGTTTCTTCAGAACACTTAGAGGTTTTTTTAAAATAGCTGAGTATTCAGAGAAAATAATGATTCCACTATTTATTTTTTTTAGGTATAAATCACACTATGCACCGTATACGCTTAGAAGCGTTTGGAAATATTTGTCATTTGTTCATTTTTCTTTTCCTCCTGTAGCCCACGAGAACGGTGAAATCTCGGCCAGGGTTAAATCCCTTGAACAAAAGATGACTAAATTGCACAACGATGAGGTAAGAGATATAAACCTGATTTCTTCAGTCGTCGCTACAGAACTCTGGGGATACATTCAATTGGATTTAAAGAGAAAATTGTCCCGAAATTTAAACTTTCACTTGTGTTCCACTTTATATGCCAACCTCTATCGAGCTTATGGGATGATATGCATGGTCAACGTCACTAGATTTTAACTGTTAAGGAAAGATAACAATTACTAGAACAATTTAAAAACTACACGAATCAACAGAATGACAAGAAATTTACCTCACGAAAAGGCATCATGTCATCATTTTTTCCCGGTTAGTCAACTTTAGAGTGGATTTGTGCTGCGTGATGTTTTCATTTTTGTCGAGACTTTACTTGGATACCTATTTCAGAAATAGGCATCAATGGATTTCAACAGATAGTGCTTTAAGCCTAAAAAGGAGACAGATATTCTATTTTCTTTATAAAATAGTTACAGGCGGCACGCAGGCTATGTCCTCTGACTTCAAATGCTTGTTTTTTTTTTTTTTTTTTTAAAGAAGGCAATTATGATTATGTGCCGACATAATAGATGGAATTTCAGATTCTTTGTGTGATATTGCATGAAAAGCTTGGTGACATGAAAGTACCATGATGAACCTAGAGGATCTTATTTGAACAAGGGCATACTCATAGAGATTGCTTGAAGCTGAATAGTGATTGTGCAATGTTACATGGCATTGCATTGCAGGGCTCATTTCTTCAGTTTACAGATTCCCTGTGGCCTATTTTTATTTACGACTCAATCATTTACTTTCACGCGATTACAACTGCTGCGGTTTTTCCACTTTAGCTTGTAGTAACATAGTAGAACGAAAGACAAAATTTTAAAAGATTGTTTTACCAAGTCCAGGTTCAAGTCTCCTTTTTAAGCTTATGTGCCACTGTGAAACCGTTAGGAAAAACATGCCTTTTTTACGTTATCATCTATATATTTAGTTACTTACCTATAAATTAATTAATATTATTCAGTTTATCTTGTCTCTTTAACTGCGAAAGGGAAAGTCGATTTATTGATGAGTTTCAGATGATTAAAAAACCAACTATTAATGCTTTTGCTGAAAGTATCAGCGCCAAAAAGGAACAGAAATACGGTGTGATTAATGACAGTTTATCCATTTAATTTTTTCTTGGTGTTTGTGGGTATGTTTGCTTTTTGTGTTCTGTCTTATTTCTACTTGTTTATTTTTTCTTTTTCTTCTGTTCTCTTTTTTTGTGCTTGTCGGTCTTTGGAAATTTTTTGATAGTTCGTTGAAGGAATTTGGAGGAAAGGCTTCGTTTGAAACGTAACGGAATTTTTTTTTTCCTTTTGTTTATTAAAAGTTCCATGCAAGTTCGATTTCGAAAATGGAATCGACGACTGGAAGAAGATCGGTACAGTGTTTGATAACCAGCCGACATAAGGTGATGATCCTACGGCTTGTAACAGAGAGCCATCCAATCATCAGGGAGATTTGCGGATTGGAGGAGTAGAGCACACACCTAACATATCTTCAGCACCAGGACAACTGCAACCAGGAGGAGTAAATTAAACTAAATTTGGGCATGAAACCACTGGTTACGAAACGACCGCGGGTACGAAACGACCGGATACCGCCTACTCGAAGCAGGGCGCTTGTTTGTGCAGAACACGATTGTTGGAATGAAGGTACTTACTCAATATGAGCGCTTATCGACAAAAATAAATTCGAGAGAGGAGGCGCGTAATGGAACGAGGGCGCTTAATAGAATCATTATGGAATCCAGAGAATAAAGTCTCTTTCGCTGTTGTATATATATCCAGGTATTTTGTCGAATTTAACTGTTGTAATCTGTCGATCTTAGACTGGAAGGTATTGCAAAGATGCAGGTACATTGTGTGAAACATTTGCCGAGTTAATAAAAACAGTTCGTGTTATTATCACAATGAATGCTTTCATTATCTATTGACGTGTCGCTGGTTCAAAACGCATGAGAAACCTTATGTATATCACAAGGTTTTCACATTTCATATTTGAACAGGATTCTGTCTTTTCGCGGTCAGCTTGAAGCAGCTTTGATAACTTTGACAGGTATGTCAATAGCATTTCAAAATTAAATTTTGTACCCAACATTCTTAGTTTTGAGTTTCTTGGGGGTTTCCCTCTAATAATTGCATTCCTCTCGATGAGTAAGTTAAGTAAGTGTCTATTGATAAGAGCCTAGCATTGCTAGCACTTATTCAAACAGGGCGCCACGATCCTGGAAATAAAGTGAAGTTAACCAAGAACTTTCCTCGGCCTATTGAGTACAGCCTCCGGACTGAATTTCATGCACGACAGTCACACAAATTATTCCCTTACCAAAAAACACAGATGAGGCAATGAGTTTTGAAAAATCGAATACCTGACGTTTTATTTGAAATAGCACAATGGTAGACATTTTCGCAAAATATAGGGAACATGATCGTAAATGTGACCTTAAACCCTAATTACTAGTACATGCCCGGGTATTTCTTGAGTTAGCCTTACAAATACCTTAGTAAAAAAATTATGTGGGTATTAAGATCTCATGCATAGAAATAGTAAGCAAACCGATGTTATCCCAAATTAGCCTCGTCGAAAATGAATTCCTGTTTAACTACACAATGATCAAAGTGGTAGGGGATCGTATCGAAGATCTTTTGCCGCATCCCAGGTAAGCTTGTTAGGTTCATTTTCCTCTCTTAATACTGCCTTCATAGGTCCAGATGATTTAAAAGATTGCTTCCGTCTTAAGTACTCAAGATAACTGTTCTCTTCTCTTGTCATTTTTTCACATTTCTCTCTATTTGCTTGCGACAGGTTTGGATTCAAAGCTAGGCTCTTCACATATTTGCCTTCATAGGCCATTTGGAGTGTTGTTCCACTGTAACATGTCTTTTCCATTTCGTTCTTCATTTGTTGAAAAACTGCAAGGTCTTTGTAAAACCCTTCACCTTCCAATTTTATTCTATTCCAAAAAGTCTTGTTGAAGTGGTCATAGAGCAACATATCAGCTTTGTTCCACCGTTTTATGTTTTCCCTCATGTTTTCGCTGAACGCAGCTTTTTCTTTATCTATTCTCTCATTTGTTTTAATATGTAGAACATCACTGAGTTCCCAGCAAAGCAAGCGCTTCATAAGCACCACGGACTCCTCAAAGTACTCCATAAGCATTACTAGGTCAAATTCCTTCTCCAAAAATGCAATGTAGTTCTTCACTGCTGTAGCATTCTGATAAAACTGAGGGTCTAAACCCAAATCAAACATCATTGGGTTTCTGGCTAAAACTGACGACCGAGTTTTATGTATATCTTTAAATTCTATTCCTTTCCTGAGAAATTGTTTAATAGATTGTGTGGGGTCAGCACCTAGATTATATACTTTACCGAGCCCCATATAGCTAAAAACAGACTCAAATTGCTCAACTGGGTTTCGAAGGATTGTGATATATTTACTGCCATTTTTCGGAAAAAGGTAATTCATCGTTTTCTTACTGTATCTCGTGTGACTACAAAGAAAATTTGGCTTTAGATTATTACGTTTCAAGGTATGTTCAATTCTAAAGCGTCTTGGCCAACCAATGAGTGTGTCTCCACCAAGAATAAATGAAAGATCTCGGGAGTCGCCATATCGGAAAAAAATGTTAGATACTGTGGACGACCCTGTTTTATGTGTCTTAAGAAACAGGACATTAGTTACTGGAGAGCAGCGCTGATGAATGACTGGATCGCCCGTTGTTTCCTCGGGGAAATTCCACAGTTTGGACTCATTCCTGTTAAAAGAAAACAAGAATAACAGTATGATGCGAAGATAAGTACCATTACCCTCACGGTTTTGGTAACAACAGATATCTATATCGCTTTGATGAACCACACGATGCTTTTGTAGTTCTTTTTTTTTTTTTTTTTTTTTTTTTTCATGTTTTTTTTAATAAAAACAAAACACGTTTCGGATGGAATATCATCCATCTTCCGTTGTATAATGAGAAATAAAATGAAATTATGCAATAAAAAGTATAACAAAGTGAGATGTTAACAAGAATAACAGGAAAATATGAAACTATTTAAGCTAAGAGGGGAGACTAATTAGTATGAACGGGATAAATTAAGATGTGTGACCTGGGAATTTAAAGACGGCTGCTCCCAAAGGATGTGCATGGCTTCCTTAATTATCAATTGGAAGCTTGTGGACGCAGAGTCCAGAATTTGAAAACAATCTTCTGAACAAAGGGAGCGACAATTTTCAGAACCTCTCAGGTGCCTAAGGAAGCCACGAACATCCATTGGGAGCAGCCGTCTTTAAATTCCCAGGTCAAACATCTTAATTTATCCCTTTCATACTTATTATTCTCCCTTTTCACTTTTTTTTCTGTTATTCTTGTTAACATCTCACTTTGTTATACTCTTTATTACATAATTTCATTTTATTTCTCATTATGAGAGGACTTGCGCCCGCGCTATATTGTAATAACTCTTTTGACTTGAAACTTTTTGCACTTACAACTCACAAATTTACTCCTAAAACTGCTGGATGGTTTGGTTGGTTAGCGATTATGATCC